AAGATTAATGCAGCCTTCACTTCACTGCACATTAATGTGGAAGATATCATTACTTTGAGCTCCAGGAATTCCCACGGGCAAAGGGCATTAAATCATACCATCTACACACTGCCTTTTTAGTTCTTCTGACATGTTAGCCTTAGAGGGTCTCTAAATTCAGCAGTGACATTGTGATGTGACTTTGTGCCCAAAATTCGATTGGAATAGCAGCAGGTTTGTATTTTAAAGAAAATGTACCATAGCTACTAGATCAAATTATTGAAATTTTTTTATGTTTATTTTTTCTTTACAAAATTTCCATGGAAACAGCTAAGTTCCATTTTTAAACAGTCATAAAGAAATACATTAAATTTTATATTTCTTATTTTTATGTAACCTTAATATCTTCAATCTCTTTTATTCCTACTTTATAGACATTGCTAATAATGTATAGATGAATCTTTTTCTAATTAAAAAGTTTGCTATTTATCAGTTAATGCTATTTGGACTCAATTTTTAAATGTTTTACTAGATATATGTATGAATAAAATGTACACAGTTTATATAGACCTTATGTCTTTTAACCAAAGTGATTTTCAAACTAGCTGATATCCCCTCATAACTGTTATTTCTAAATTTTAGTTAACAAAAACGTTACTCGACAAGTTAAGTAAATGTTTTCTCTCTAACATTTTAAAATGCCTACTCTCCTAAACATCTATTGTTTTCAATTTTCATAACATTATAAGAGTGGAAAACAAGAAGTAGAAGTGAAGAGTCAGAGAGATTTTAGCCTTACCACGCCATGGGGAAAAGTCCATGATTCCTCGTATGTTCAGAGGTTGAAGTGAACCTTCAAGAACAGGAAACTTTAGGAGATTACTTTAGGTTTAATAATTATATATCCCATTTATTTTTATCTTATTTGCTTATAATAGGAAATGTTATCATTATCCATAACTATTTCATTAGAAATAGGTACTCTGCCCAATGATACATTAAAGATGTAGGAAAATTAAAATTGTGAAAGACTTTAAACTGACCAAAAAGATCATGACAGTTTTCTCTAAGTCACTCTTCCAGGCTATCTTGGTCTTTCATTATTTTTGAGACATTTCACAACTCTGTAAGTATAGGCACTTATAACATTGCAAATGATTCTTTCCCATAGAAATATGAATGATTTTATCAGTAAAACTGAATGAATCATTGTCCTACAGATAAGTCCATTTTGCATCTATTTGTAAATTTATTGTAGCTTGACTCTTTTACACTCTTAAAATTTGTTCAGTATTTTAGGTGCTTTAAAATGTGTGGGATGTAAGTGTTTATATTTATTATGTTGAAAATAGAAATAAAACATCTTAAAACATTAATTGGCTCATTTTAAGGTAACAGTAATGAACACATCACATGATAGTAGAAATAACACTTCAATGTTATGGGTAGATAGGCATGAGTGGAGCAGGAGAGGGTTCTCTCCTCACACATGAGAAATGTTGGGTGATGGTTTGGCAGTTACCACATTGCCTTTCTAAAAGTGATAAATTGGCAGTCAGCACCTGGGAGAGGACAGCTCCTGATGGTCTACACCTGTTATCCTTAAAGTTTTAATTAAAGCAGGTCCCGAATGGTATTACCTAGGTTTTCTTCTAGGGTTTTTATGGTTTTAGGTCTAACATTTAAGTCTCTAATCCATCTGAAACAGACATTTCTCAAAAGAAGGACCTGCAGGTACGCAGCCAACAGACACATGAAAAGATGCTATCATCATGGCCATCACGAGGAAATGGCAAATCCAAAACCACAGTGAGGATACATCTCACACCAGTTAGAATGGCAGTCATTAAAAAGGCAGGGAAACAAGCAGGTGCTGGGAAATAGGAAACAACTATTAAACTTGTTGTTCGGGATTGTAAAGCTAGTTCAACCATTATGGAAAACAGTATGGCGATTCTTTAAGGATCTAGAATTAGAATGTACCATTATGGACCCAGACCATTCCATTACGGGGTATATATCCAAAGGATTATAAATCATGCTGCATATAAAGACATATGCACATGTATGTTCATTGCGGCACTGTATTCACAATAGCAAAGACTTGGGAATCAACCCAATGTCAACAGTGACAGATGGGATTAGAAAATGTGGCACATATACACCATGGATACTATGCAGCCATAAAAAGGATGAGTTTGTGTCCTTTTGTAGGACATGAATGCAGCTGGAAACCATTCTCTCAGCAAACTATTGGCAAGAACAGAAAACCAAACACCGCATGTTCTCACTTATAGGTGGGAACTGAACAATGAGATCACTTGGACTCAGGAAGGGGAACATCAAACGGGCCGGGCT